TAGAATAGGTACAGGTTAGAGCAATATCAGAGAAATCCCATAGAGCAAACTCCTGCGGCTGGGTAGCCTTTGGTCTCGCATCTGAGTTACTGCAAGCTATATATCTAGTTAGATCTCAGGTAGCTTACTCACAAGTATCATCCAGAGGCAGTTGGAGAATCCCTCTGGAGGCAGGTGGTTCCTTGATCATGAGTTTTGAGAGAGAGAGCAAGTTTCAGATGGTACAGCTTTTCTTTGTTCCTGAGTAACCCTCATGGCTGCCCCCCTCCTCCCGGGCAGTCCTTAACTTATATAACCTTTGTGACCTCATTTACCTGGTCCAATGGAGGTCAGCACCTGTTGGCTGTCAGCCAACCAATTTGAAATACATCACTAGTTGCCGGGCAGACTCTAGCCCACCAGGAGGGAAGCCCCTCACCCAGGTATGCGATACTAGTCATGTAGGCAGAGGGAGCAGATTTCCCCACTCCCTCAGGAATGTATCCAACTTAGGTTACCTAAAGAGATAAGGTGTGTCTCTCGGCTGGGTCCATCCTAATTAAAGTTGTCACAGAGCTGAGTTTTTGGGAGGGAAACAAAGGTGGCTTTCTGCCACAGAAGGTGTCTATGAAACTGTGGGCCTGCCAATAGATCTAGGCGTTGCAGCTTCTGGGCCCTTTGCTTTCCCCCACCAGTGCCCTCGCAGTGGCAAGGACGCTGTCAAAATCTCCCCAGCGATCCAAGGTGAGCTGTACCTTGCCGGCAGACCAGCGGTTGTAGTCACGGTCAAGAAATGCAAGTAGCTCACCCCTGGAGATGGAGAGGTCTGCCGGTTCTTGGGCATTCTCCTCCTGATCCTGGGGCTCAGTGAACTCCTTATATACCATCTGAACCCCCCAGTCTGCTAAGACCCCAGACTCTGGTTTGGATTGGGAGAGCTCTGCACCCCCTTGGGACAGGGGTGAAGGTGGGGCTCCTTTACAATATGGTGTGGTAGACCTGGAGCCCCGGGGGGGGTCTATGCAGGGTACCCAATAAAATTGGCCTGCCGATTAAGGGACCCCACCCGGACCCCCTCTGGTGAGGGACCATGGCGCAGCCTGGAAGTGAGGGAGGGGGAGGGAAGATGGCTGCTTTGAAGTCCTGGGAAAGGGAACCTCCTTCCCCAGGACTCATCAGACCGAGCCGCAGGTCCCCTGTTTCCCCCAGATCATCGGGCGGGGGGTGGGGGGAGGCTCCTCTGCCAGACCTTCCTTTGGGTTAGCCTCAGCACCCATGGTCTCAGCAGGTAGGCTCTAGCCAGCGGAGTGAGGGGCTTCCACCATGGGCTCGTGTTTGGGACTGTCCAGTAGCCCCAAAGCTTCCTCCATGGAGAGAACCTGTTTAATTTTTCCTGGGGGTAGGGTGTCAGTCACAGCTGGGGAGGCCTGCAGAAGCTGGGCTGCTCCTTCTGCCCATGTGATGTTCTTGGGAGGCTGCAGGGGATCCTCCACCTTAGAGGGCTCCAGCTGCGCCCAGGCCTTCCTCTTGGCTTTGCGCCCGGAAGGGACCTGCATCCACTTAGCCATGGGATGGTCCTCAGGTGGACAGACTCCAGTAGAAGAAGGTGAGGGTTGTGGGGGTGGGGCAGTTACAGAGAGGACATGGCTGGGGCAAGAGAGGCCCGCTCCCTCTCCTCCCTTGGCTGCTGCCCCCCTACCTGGGACTCTGCCAAGCTTGGTTGGGGGGTGGGGACCCCTGAGCTCACAGGGGAGCTAGGAGTTGTGGCTGGGGTGCCAAGGGGGCCTGAGTGGGGAGGGGTGCCGGTAGTAGGGGCATCCCTCTCACCAGTGGGACCCGTGGATACCTTTCCCATCTGGCCCATGGGGCACTCATGATGTATGTGCCCCAGGGCATGGCACCGGAAGCATCGCGGGTCCTCTGGCGTATAGAAAATCCTCACTAGGGCTCCCTGAAAAAGAATGATGAGACAGCCCTTGGCCTCCAGCTGCGCTCCCACTGTCAGCTGGATTATGACCTAACAATGGCATGTGCACATATGGCAGAGGCCGGGGTCTCGGCACCCCAGCTAGATAGTTCTCCCCAGTGTTTGGAGATGGGGGAGTAGGGCACAATTGGAGATGTAAGGTGGGACGGAGCTGAGAAGCACTCTGGTCCCCAGCTCTTCTAGAGACTTGAGAGGGACATACTCGCCCTGCACCACAAGCCCCCTCTCCACCACCTGTTGTGCGACGGCCTCCAAGGCAAGGAAAAAAGACCCCTTTACCATGAAAGTGGGAGGCCGCCAGGATCTTGGGAGCCCACCACTCCTCAAGCCAGGGCGTGCACCCAAGTGCACCTCAAAATGCAGGTTCTCCTGCTTGGGCAGTTGGCACTTCACCCCATGCCTGCAGGTGAGTGCTGAAAAGGAGGCCCCGCCGCCTGAGCTGGAAGGGCTGGCGGTGGAGGGTCCAGGACCCATGGCTGTGGGTCACACCATAGCCGCCTGTCCATATCTGCAGCTCCCCTGCTGGGGGGCTGCATTGGTGGGGCCGGGGCTAGGGCCAGGGACAGGCTGAGTGGGTATGCTGGTTGATGTGGTGCATCTGGTCCCTTCAGGCACCAGTGGTCTAGGCTTTGGGGCAGCGTCTTTACCCTTCCCACTCCACTCTGTGGCAGAGCCTGAAGAAGAGCCCTTCCCACTGCCCTTGCCCTTGATCCCCGATGTTGGGGAAGAGGGCTTGGGAACCCCTCTGGGAGCAGCCTGGCCTGGGGAGACCCCCTGGCCCTGCTGGCTCCCTGCTGGCTTTGCCATGTATGGCTTGGCCACGTATGTAACCTTGCCATTCTAAATCATAGAATGCCAGATAATGGTGTACCAGAATAAATTCTATCTTGGTTTTCAGTATTTTGCTGTAATCATTGGTCTTTTGGTTTGGTTTGGTTTTGTTTTGTTTTGTTTAAGTATGCTCCATAGACTTTCAAAGAAATTATATTTGCTTGCCTGCTGGATTGTTTACCTACTTGTTATAGCAACTGACTCATCTTTGGTGTGTAGAACCAAACTGGATTTAAAGAGATGTTGTCATGTTCTTGATTTTTTTTTTTTTTCAAATATAAATTGAAGATGATTGTTTCCTAGAAAATTAAGTGATTAAAAAAATGGAACATCTTTTATTTGTAAGGCTACTTTTGGAAAAAGATTTGGTCACAGTGTAGGGCTCAAGCAGCACTGCCAAATTATTGAACAGCTTTTAAATTTACTGTGTAATGTCTGAATGTTGGATGTGGCTTTACTTACTGAAATGCAGTAAAAAATTGTTATACTATTTACATATTTTTAAAGTCTTCTCTCCCTCCTTCTCTTCTTCCTTCTCCCCCTTCCCCTCCCACCCTGTCTTTTGGTGAACTTAAGACAACTAGGTGCAACTGCCACAAAGACAGCCAAAAACCTAAAGGGGCAACATGCATGTTGGCTGACAAATTCACACAAACCTCCTGGAGAAAAAGTTCTGTGAGTAAAACTTATCATTTTTTGTAAGTAAGTTTTTTTTCAATGTTTCATCCTTTGATTCCATCCTCCTTCCTTCCACTCCTCCTCCCCTTTTTAATACTTGTGGGGGGTTTTCTATTTTGTTTAAAGATTTTCATCCTGTCCAAAACAGTTTTGCCTTTATATTATTGTCATTCTGTAGCACAGCATGGTAGTCTTCTAGGTGTTTGTTCTCTTTATTTGAACCTTATTTTGGAGCACATGTTTACTAATGAATAATGAAACGGAGGCAAATCATTTTGGGAAGGAAAAATCAGTCTTTTAATTTTAATCACAATTCATATTACATCATGCTCAGACTGTCTCTCTTATCACTCATTAAAACACTTCTTTCAATGTGACACTATCATCCTAAGTTGTTTGTTTGTTTCTTTGTTTTGGTACAGTTTCGCTGTAGGAATTTTCATTGTGTCTGTTTTCTTATGAAAAGAGGTAATGTAGTATGAAACTACTAATCCAGTAAAAAAATAACAAACTGGCCCTATCCTCACTTGTTTCTTTGGACATCATAGCATTAGTCTCTTTGAAACACTTTTGGGATAGAATTTAATTCAGCTGAGAAAACATCTTCTTTTCCATTTGATATTATGGGGTGCCTGGGTGGGGAGGCGGGGGCTGGGACTCGGGAGCTACTCTAAAAAGCTGCAACGTCTTGTGTATTCAGTGCCCCACATTTCAAAATGGCCATGGGGGCGCTTTAACTGAAGCTCATTCAATGAGCTTTAGTTTAAAGCACCCTTGCAGCCATTTTAAATCGCAGGATGTTGAATACATGAGATGCTGCAGCATGCTGGAGTGTTCTAATTGGAACACTTGATCAGACTTGATTAATTGAGTCTGTTCTGATGTGTTCTAATTGGAATGTGCTGGAGCATGTGCATAGGCACCCATATTGATCACCACCTTTCCCAGTTGTATTGCATTCTTGGAGCAACTGTAGCAAAGACCTTGAATACTTGGTTTTCCTACCATCATAAATGCAATAGCAGTTGCTGAAGTGAAAGTTTTAATTGGTGCCTAGAATGTAGTATTTGTAGATTTGTTTAGAGCCATGTCCTTTGGGCTCCTGGTTCTGTGGCAGCAAGCCTGGAAACCTTAGCATGACTACCTGCTCTGGAGTCAAGAATCCTGGAAATATAGAATCTCCAGCCCTGAGGCAGTACACCACACATCCAGACAGGTTTCTTTGTACCTCCTGCCTTGCACTTGGTGAAAGGTTCATTGCATTTTAGACGTTTCAGATGTGATATTTTAGTCTCAGTGATGCAGCATTCTCTGGTGCAACTTTTTTTTTTATGATCAGCTCTAGATACCACTTCAAAATTAGGGTTTTTTTAATGCCCTAAACTGATGATCTAACTATTACATTCTCCTTTGCTGATATTTGTGAAATTAGCTTGACTTAACTCTTCAGCCATTCAAATGTGCTTATGAAAGTTGGCCTACATTCTTTATACATCATTTATATGCATCATCCCCTACTACTGCACTTAGTCAAATACAGTGTCTGAGTTAAAAATGATAAAGGATGTAACTATGGCTGCTTAAAATGTTGTAACTTGTTTTTAGGTAGTGGAATTGTATGACCTAAGACCAGCATGCAAATCTCATTTTTCTACCTTAAAAGTATTCAAGTACTTTGCTATAGTTGCTCCAAGAATGTAATGCAGCTGGGCGAGGTAGTGATCAACATGGGTGCCTATACATGTGCTCCAGCACATTCCAATTAGAATGCATCAGAACAGACTTGATTAATCAAATCTGATGGAGTGTTCCAATTAGAACACTTTTGTTTTATGACTCAAAATTCAAGTCCCCGATGATGTTGGGGTTTGGGAGATTTCAGTAGGCCTAGCGAGCTCAGGAGTAAAACATAGTCTGCTTTTTCTTTGTGTTTCTCCTTGAACAAGTAGAATACAGATAAATGAATATGAAAAATATGCTGTGTTAATCACTTTTACACTATTCTTTCCAAATTTCATATTGTTTTATTGACCCCTCATTAGGTAGTTCAGCTCAAAATAAATGTTATCAGTCTATTTCCTCCTATCCTCCATATTGTTACTCAAGTTATAAGTGACTAGATAACAGCAGTTCTAATGTTTAATTTTATTGCATAGTAATAGTTAGCTAAAGCTAAACTGTCACTGTAGTCACTTATATTCAAAGATATATATGCAAAACTTTTTCTAATTTTAGTAACAGCAATTTTATAGTTCTGTTGCATGATTATACTCTTTCATGGCTTAGTAGAAATAAATTATAGACAAGTATTGGCATAAAATAATTTCTAGTTTGGAATCAAATGACAAAATTATGTACAGTAGGAAGGCAAAGGTCGTATCTTCATGAGACGGGAATACATAAAGAAATGTCATGAGATGTCCAAATACAATATCCTTTTGCCCGAAAGCAAAATAGTATTTTTAAACACTTGTTTTATTAATTGTAATGGTCCTAATCCCTTTTCAGATTTACAATATCAATTTAAATCTTCTTTCAAAACTAATATTCATCTCTTTACAGTGGTTTTATTGAATAATTATCCGTTTGGGATCATAAGCTCAGTCTTTAAGAAACAGAACTTGCATAACAAGCATGCAGCTCCTCTAGACTGGGATATCAAACTGGTGTTGCTCCTCACAGGGCAGATCCAGATAATAGGGTGCGTGGCATCAGGGAACTGTGGGGGTTAACACAGCTATAGGTTGTCCTCTGCCATTGACACATCCTCAACAGTATACGGTACCCTGGATTTCAGCAGTGGGCTCATGTAAAGTTCATAGATTGTAAGGCTGGAAGGGACCTCAGAAGATCATCAGGTTCAGCCCCTTGCACAAAGCAGGAAAGATAACTGGGGGTTAGGTTACCCCAGCAAGGTGACCGTCTAGTCTCCTCTTGAAGATTTCCAGGGTAGGCGATTTGCAGCACCTCTGGAGGGAGCTTATTCCACAGTCTGGACACCCTGACTGTGAAGAAATTTTTCCTAATGTTGAGCCTGAATTGATCGTCCAGGAGTTTGTGGCCATTACTCCTAGTTTTCTCCTTGGGTGCCCTGGTAAACAGTTGCTCACCAAGCCCTTGATGTACTCCCTTAGCATAGCAGTAAGCTGCTACCAGGTCCCCTTTCAGCCTTCTTTTCCTCAGGTTGCAGAGTCCCAGATCCCTCAGCCTTTCATCATATGGCTTGCCTTTTAAGACTCTGATCATACAGGTGGCTCTTCTTCGGACTCTCTCAAGCTTGTCCATGTGCTTGTTTAAGTGTGGTGCCCAGAACTGGATGCAGTACTCCAGCTGCTGTCTCACCAGTGCTGAGTACAGTGGAAGAATCACCTCCTTGGCTTTGCTGGAGATGCATTGATTGATGCATGCCAGAGTATTATTTGCCCTACTGGCTACAGCATTGCACTGCTGGCTCATATTCATACTGTGGTCTGTTATTCCCCCCAGGTCCTTTTCATTAGTCAGTTTGGTACCGCCAAGCCTGTAGGTGTGTTGGAGGTTATTCATCCCGATGTGGAGCACTTGACATTTCTCAACATTGAATTTCATCAGGTTCTGATCTGCCAAACTTGCCAGCCTGTCTAGGTCTGTCTGTAACTAGCCTATCTTCATGGGTGACCACGCTTCCCCATAACTTGTTGTCATCCATGAACTTGGCCAGTGAGCCCCCACATGCAAATTGTTAATAAAGATGTTGAAAAGTACTGGATTGAAGCACTGACCCCTGCGGGACACCACTGCCCACTTCTTGCCAGGATGACACAGATCCATTCACTACAACTCTCTGGGTCCTATCCTTCAGCAAGTTTCTCCCCCACCTGACTGGCTTGGAGTTAAGCCCACACTCCTCCAATTTTCTCGTGAGAACATTGTGGGATACTAGATCAAAGGCCTTTTGGAAGTCTAGGTATACAGTGTCAACCTACATCTCTCATGTCCAGGTTGTGTTATCTGGTCATAGAAGGAGATGAGGTTAGTAAGGCAAGACCCGCCCACGATGAAGCCATGCTGGCTGTCGTTCAGAATCTTACCTTCTGCAAGCTTATTGCAGATAGACTCCTTGATGAACTTTTCTAGGATTTTCCCTAAGATGGAAGTTAGGCTGATTGGCCTATAGTTATCTGGGTCCTTCCTCCTGCCCTTCTTGTGGATGGGCACACCATTAGCCCTCTTCCAGTCATCAGGGACTTCTCCAGAGCACTACAAGTTGTGGAAGAGTTTTGCCAGGGGTCTCACAATGACTTCAACCCGCTCCTTCAGCACTTTCAGATGAAGAACATCTGGGCCTGCTGACTTGGATACACCTAATTTTATTAACTGGTCATACACCAATTCTATAGCAGTAATAGGAAGGCAATTGTTCCTACCATGCTCATGCTGTACTCTACCTGGTGTGGTTTTCCCCTTGGTCTGGTGAAATACCGAGGCGAAGCAGTCATTCAGGAGTTCAGCTTTCTCCTGGGTGCTGGTAATCAGCTCTCCTGAATTGTTGAGCAATGGCCCTACACTCCCCTTTGTTTTCCTCATGCTTCCTATGTACCTAAAGAAGGACTTTTTGTTGTGTTTGATTCCCGTTGCTAATTTAAGTTTGGTTGCCACTTTAGCCTTTCTTATGTGTTCCCTGCAAATGCGGGCCATCGTGGAATAGTCCTCCTTGGGGCCCGCCCTGAGCTTCCATTCTTTCTTCTTTAAGAGGACCGTGATTTCCCTGTTTAGCCAAGAGGGCTTCCCAGCCCTTCTGTTACCTTTTCTCCATATGGAAATGGATTTCCTTTGTGCTTCAAGGATCATGTCCTTAAGGAACAACCACTCTTCGTGCACACCTTTCGCCTTCGGTCTCTGGTCCTGCAGCACTTGCCCTACTGGTGACCTTGGGCAAGTGAGTTGTGGGTGTACCAACCATAAAATAATTCTAACGTTGCTATAGCCATTTTACTATACTATATTTGTTTCCATTA